TTGCAACAGCCAATATATGGAATCACCCTAGGTGCCTAACACTAGATGAATAGATTTTTTTTTAAAAAAGGTGTGTGTGGTGGTAGAATGTGTGTGCGTGCGTGTGTGTGTGTGTGTGTGTGTGTGTGTGTGTGTGTGTGTGTACAATAAAATAGCCATAAAAAAGAATGGAATTCTGTCATTCAGGGCAACACGGAACTGGAGGTCATTATGTTAAGTGAAATAAGCCTGAATCAGAAGGTTCTCACTCATATGTGGTTAAAAAAAAGTTGATCTCATAAAAGTTAAAAGTAGAAGAGAGGATACTAAAGGCTGGGAAGGGCAGTGTGAAGGGAGGAATAGGGAGTTGTTAAAGGATACAAAACTATGCCTAGATAAGAGGAGTCTAGTGTTCTATAACACTGTAGGATGAGGATAATTAACAATATTTTACATAGTTTCAAATGGCTAGGAGGATAGCAAATGTCAGTAACACAAAGAAATGATAAATGAGATGATGGGCACATTAATTACCCTGCTATGATCACTATACAGTATATAGATCAAATCATCATTAGGTACCCTGTGAATATGTATGATTATTGTTAATTTAAGATAAAATAATCTGACTGCATAATTAATTTGTAACCAGTCTGTCAACTACTGGGTACCACTGGGGGGAAAAAAGTACAGATGGAATTTTTTGCTTTTTTTCCAAAGAAGTTCTGCTGAATTTCAAATATTTTGTTTGAATAATCATGTTTGACAGACATAAAGGCTAATGTTAGCAAAGTAATTAAAATTAATGATGGTAATGTCCACTGGGCTTGACTATGCAGGTGTTTACCCCCACTGTTTCCATCCCGACATAAAAATGTCTGATATATAAAATTCTAAGTTTACACATAACACATTAAGAGTGATTATTTTCATCCCTCTGAAAACTCACAGAATTTCTTCATAATATTCATAATACTCTCATAATGATGCTTATGGGTTTTTGATATATAGTTAAATTTTTACAAATGGATTAAGTTACACAAAATGTTAAATATATACTCATTTAGTAAACTGAGCGGATACTATGAGAGGTATAGTTTCCAATCCTCTATAACAGAGGTCCCCAACCCCTGTTGGGGTGGACTGGTACCGGTCCGTGGCCTGTTTGGAACCCGGCTGCACAGCCAGAGATGAGCAGAGGACCAGCGAAGCTCCGCCATGCTGTCAGATCAGCAGCGGCATAAGATGCTCAAAGAAGCGTGAACCCTACTGTAAACTGCGCATGGGAGGGATCTAGTTGCATGATCCTTATGTGAATCTCATGTCTGATGATTCCTTCCACTCCCCGCCCCGCCACGCCCCCCACCCCCATAACGTGGGAAATTGTCTGTTATGAAACTGGTCCCTGCTGCCAAATAGTTTGGGGACCGCTGCTCTATAACACAGTTGAGAAGTTAAAAGTTACCCCAAAGGGTTTCTGAATGCTACCATGTACCAAACCAAGCCATTTACTACTCATAACTATACTCAAAACTTATTATTTTGATACTTAATAAACCAACATAAAATTCTCTCTCACTCTCTCTTATATTTGGTCCCAAGCATAGGAAGATTAAAAGTGGCAAACTGGAGGGATAGTGGAATGTTAGAGGCCAGCACAAAGACTGCTAGCAGACAGGAAGACATTAAGGGAAGAGAGAGAAAAATAACCAAAATCTGGCTCACTATTCTAATGACATGCCATATATTAATGGATACTTGTAATGATGATGCAGAGCCATCCCAACTAAATTAACTTACATTTAACATTTTCTAACATGTTAATAACATTTTATTCTCCAAAGAGGACTACAATAGTGACTTTTGACCACAGGATCTTCTTTTTTTTTTTGAGTTGGAGTCTCACTCTGGCGCCCAGACTGGAGTGCAGTGGCCGCTCCTGGCCACCGCAGCCTCGACCTGCTGGGCTCTGGCGATCCTTCCGCCTCAGCCTTCCGGGTAGCTGGAATTACAGGCGCACGCTACCACACCCGGCTAATTTTTTGATTTTATTGTAGAGATGAGGTCTCGCCTGCCCAGGCGGGTCTCGAACCAACGGGTTCAGGCAATCCATTCACCTCAGCCTCCCAAAGGCGCGGGATTACAGGCTGAGCCACCGAGCCCGGCCACAGGCTCTTCTATAATGCGACTTTGCCATGCCCCACCTGTGAGTATAGTCTAAGTTCTAGCCCCTTGAATCGATATTGATGAACAGAATATGGTAAAAGTGAGGCTGTGACTTCTAAGGCTGGGTCATAAAAAATGAGTATGAGTTTTGTGCTAGGAAATGTGATAAGTGTAGGTACTTTATATAAATTGTATTACTTAATCCTCATTACATCTTTTTTGAGTAGGTATTATTTTCACTTAATAATAAAGCAAATTCATAGCCGGACACGGTAGCTCATGCCTGTAATCCCAGGACTATGGAAGACAGAGATCAAAGAATTGCCTGAGCCCTGGGGGTTTGAGACCAGACTGGACAACTTGGTGAGACCTCATCTCTACAGTAAATCAAAATATTAGCCAGGTGTGGTGGTGCGCACCTGTAGTCCCAGCTACTTGGAAGGCTACTAAGAATTGCCTGAGTCCAGCAGTTCGAGGCTGCATTAGCCGTGGTTGTGCTACTGTGTTCTAGCCTGGGAAACAGAGTGAGACTCTGACACCCCCCACAAAAAAATAAATAAAAAAGCAAATTACAAATATCTTTTTAATTTTTTTAAAGTTGAAGTCTTATTCAGTCATCTAGGCTGGAGTGTAGTGATACAATCATAGCTCACCACAGCCTCAACCAACTGGGTTCATGCGATCCTTCCACTTCATCCTTCTCAGTGGCTGGAACTGCAGGCGCTTGCCACCACGTCCAGCTAACTTTTTAATTCAACATATTTTTTAAAAGCTCTCTTCAGGCGGGCTCAGTGGCTCAGCCTGTAATCCCGCACCTTTGGGAGGCTGAGGTGAGTGGATTGCCTGAGCCTGCGGGTTCGAGACCCGCCTGGGCAACTTGGCAAGACCTCATCTCTACAATAAATCAAAAATCAGCCGGGCGTGGTAGCGCATGCCTGTAATTCCGGCTACTCAGAAGGTTGAGGCGGAAGGATCACCGGAGCCCAGCAGGTCGAGGCTGCACTTCAGTCTGGTCGACAGAGTGAGACTCCAACTCAAAAAAAAAAAAGCTCTCTTCAACAAATACTTTTCTTTCATGGCAGCTGCTTCTTGTGTTATGGATGCAATGTGATATAGACTCTCCTTAAGGATAACAATTCCATTTAATTAAAAAAAAATTAATACAGTTAACTTCAGAATATTACCTTCTCTTTATTTAATTAATGATTTATATATTTTTTTGGAATCTCCCAATTATGTAGCTCTTCTCACCTTTGGATCATTATTAGGTGATTCTTGTTTTTTTATTCATATCTTAAATGAGGCTCAACATCAGAGGTTCTCACTAAGTGTGTTATTACACGTAGAGTGTATTTTTGGCAAACTTATGAGGGATTACCTATTGCCATAGTGCTTGGGAGTATTTCATTTAGTGAAAGGGTACCAGGAATATTAAACCTCCTGTCATTATAGGATACATTGAATAGTCCGTGCAACAAAGAACTGTCCTGTGTCCTGTATAATTTTCAAATGTTCTACAAGACATTCATGTTGGTAAAAAACGTGTTTTTAATTACTTGAGTCTGGAACATAACTCCATTTTCAGATAAACTCAAAATAATTTTGCACAGTTTTAATATACATTAAATTTTCCAAGCTTGTCACCACTATGTAAATTGATGGAAGATTTTACTTTCTTTTGGTCAGAACTTTACCAAGAGTTGTTCACCATTTTGGACAACTATATTACTGATAGCAATGTGCTCATGCTATTTAAACGGACAATACAATGTATCTGTATCAATCTACATCCATGGTTGTCTCATTTGCGGTGGTTCTATGTGTAGGTACAAGCATCTGATGACTGTATTATATTTCCTAGTGTAGCTGTACCCAAGCATTTACCTTTTAAAATACATATACTTTTATTATAAATCACCCTCCCCTTATTTCTCCTTTACAGTATATTAGGACATGTTATGATTTCTATATATAATGGGTATAGTTAGGTGAATTATCTATAATTTTCATTGCAGTAAAATAAAAGGTATGTTAGAAGTAGCTATAAAAAGGGAGTTGAAATTCATGAAGAGGCAAAAGTGCCTAGGAGACACGAAGGGGGAAAGATGAAAATGTTAGAACATTTACGTTTTCCTTAAGGATCTGTCTGTCTGTTGAAATGCTGGAAGTTACTTAGAGCATTGCCCTGCTTCTCCTTCTAGCCCAATGCTGACTCTAAAGTATCTAGTGACAGATCATGCAGTTCCTTTAAAGAGGTATTCTCTTGGCCTTGGCTTAGGAGTAAATGCCTGAGCCAGCAGGAGTGGGGAACTGGATCAGCTGTTTCACAGCCCTTTAATTAATTACCCTGATGACTGCCCCAGGGTCTGTTCCCAGTCTTCCCTGTTGGTGATCCTGGGTTTTTTTCTATGGTTCTATGCAACTCACTGTTTCAGCAGTCTTGTCTCATATTTATTGTGTTTTGGGGTCTTTTGCTCAGTTTGGCTGTATCTTTAATCTTATTCAATCTTATTTTAAAAAATTCCTCAATGTTGATTCCACCCCTCCAGGTTTCTAGTGCTGCTGTGGATTTATTTTTATATTTATTCTTCCATTTAAAAGAAACTTTGGATGAAAGTAGAGGTAAAGCCATGTCTTAATCAACTATCTTCCGTTGGAAGCCATTTTGAGTACTTTAAATAAAGCAAATATTCTATTCCTATGATTGGTGCATTAAGATTTATATCAATTAGCTATCAATTTTACTGTAGGCAAGTCAATATATTTAATAAAGTTAAGCTGTCAGACTTAAAATTATATTCTTTTGTTTTGTTAAATGAATTACAAAAAAAGTGAAAAAAATGCAGAAAACTTACAATCCACATCAAGCATGGCACGGACAGATTTAACAAGTTCCTTAGATTCAAGTGCCAGTGTTGCTGGAATGTTTGCTGGGATGTTACGTCCATTCCTTCCCAGTGGTGTGAGGGAAGTCTGAGAAGCTAATGCAGCTCTTCTGTCACTATGAAGGCAACAAAATAAAGTTGAATTTACTTGACCAACATCTATCTTTGCTAAATCAGAAGCAATACTAGTTATAAATTTGTCCAAAAATATTTCTATTTCTGGGAATATTATATTCTTATAGCCATAAATGAAGTAATTAACACACAATATTTCTGTTTTCAATTATTTATTACATAACAAAAGGAATATTTAAAAAACTAGGTTGACTTTATATATAAGAAGGAAGTAACGGAAGATGGCCAATCTCCTAAATAATGTGTTGGGCTTATTTTGTGAGTGATTGTGTTTTGGTAACATGGTGTAACTTTACTTAGTTCTGTAGAAATTCAAATTAAGCATATAGCCATGAATTTATTAAACAGGCAGTTACTAATACTTCTAGTAATATTAAATATAAATTGAACATATGTATTTGCTCTTGAAATTATCACTTAAACTCTTCCATTTTTTGCTCTCAAATATAAAATAGTCTAGCACATTTATATCACTTTTTAAAAATGCAAATGTCACCTGAAATGAATGGATCCTAATATAATTTAAAATGCAAGTCTTTTCTCAAAAAACATTACACTAAAACTTACTTGAAAAGAGACTACTTGAAACTGATGATAAAACCATCATTATTTATAATCCAGCTTCTTAAGCATAATGATATTAATCCACAAAGAGAATGAAAGTATCAATTCTCAAATTCAAATATATGGCTTTTATACTGTGTTGAATGACCAATGCCAATACCCATATAGAAGATATGCTATATAAAAATGACTGAACCAGATTTTACTAGTGTTTAACTTTCCAAGACACGGTGAAATGTTGTTTAATATAGCTATTTAAAGTTGTCTTTTTTCCATGAAGCAGTTTAAGACAAAGGCAAGCTGTGGCTTTTAAGTAGTCATTTTTAACTTCTGAATTATTAGGCAAGGTCAAAATGAGACCTTGGGGGTATGGACACACTTCACCCATATAAGAGAAATATAATAAATATGATTATTAATGATTTTAAGTTCCTTACTGAAAATGATAATCACGGAATTCACATAATTATCTTTTATCATAAACAGCATGAATAGTAAAAAAAAAAAAATCAGATTCCTTCATTATAAGAAGTAAAACATTACATTGAAATGAGCTTAAAAACAAACAACTATAGACATTATTTTAAATTAACAAAATAAACTGGGTGCAGAGGCTCGCACCTATAATCCTAGCACTTTGGGAGGCTGAGGCAAGAGGATTGTTTGAGTCCAGGCATTTGAGACCAGTCTGGGCAACACAGCAAGACCTCGTCTCTACAAAAAATTAAAAAATTAGCCAGGTGTGGTGGTATGTGGCTGCAGTGCCCTACTCAGGAGGATGAGCCCAGGAGGTTGAGGCTGTAGTGAGTGAGACCTTGACTCAGAAAAAAAAAAAAAAAAAAAAG